TGGCAGCCTCGGGCTGTGGTTGTTTGGCAGTCTGCGCCTAAGTCTTTAAGCAACAGCGAGCTGATTTTCTCTGAAGTGTTGATTTTATAAAACAAAAAATATACTCCCACAGTGGCAGAGACAAGCAAAGAAATATGCCTGGCCCAAAGTCTGGATTTTAGGGCTGCTTCTTTTTTGGAAGGGTGGGAACGTGGCTGGAAAGTGCAGCAAGTCACTTGAACTGCTAGTCTTTTAGTAACTTTTCTTTATAGAAGAGCTGATGGTCCTAGAGCTATTTCTCACAAACACTTGTATGCTTCAGTCTTTCAAGGCATTACAGTTCTCGCTTGCACTTCTTGCACCTGTCAACTACACTGCAATTTTGGCAGAGAGGATGGTGTTCAGATTTTTGCTGAATATGCCTTCTTCACTGCTCAATCACTTGGTTTGCTGTTCAAAATATAACACAATACATCTATGTTCTTAAAACTTAAATAAGTCAGGCAAGGAACATCACAGTAGAAAGTTAAATAATTAAACTTTATGAGGAGGCTCAGCTTTAAACGATTTAACTATGCTTTAAAGAAAGTGAGAGCTTGATATGACTGAAAAAATTCTGTATCATAAAAGCCTCTACCAAAGGCAGGTCATTTAATGTAAACTGACAGTGACATGTGTAAAAGGTACTCATTTTGCACTTTGATGTGAAAGTAGATAAACTTACTCATCAGGTGACTTTGGATGTTGGGCTTGCTGGTACCCAGTACTTTGGATCATGTAACATAGGGGCTGCTAAGTAGCTCTTGATCTTAATCTAAAGTTATAAGAGTTAATACAGTTATCTGTCACATCATTCTTAGTCTCTGTAGTATACTTTTTCCCTTCTCTTACCTAAAAATGGGATCTTTAACATTCTTAGTCCTTGACACTTGTGCTGACCTGCTACCTAAGGGGTACACTGGCTTAACTACACAGTTTTACATGTTGCTGAGCTTGTGGGCGTGTTGGTTTTGCTTCGCCTCAACAAGCATAAAGTGTTGAAGCTGACAGATGTGATATCTCGAACACCTTCTGAATGTTGTTAACGTAACATATGAAATGCAGGTAGTAAGTTACAAATTTCAGAGATCAAGTCTCCAAAATAGCATATCACAATGTGATTTGACTCCCTAACACAATTTTCTCAGCAGCATTGAATGCCTTTTCCTCCTGCCCACCCCCTTAAGGGGTTTGTATTTAAACAAGATTCCTCTGCTATGTCATAGTTGTCCTCTGCTCTTTAACAAGTTCTCTTCACCTTCTGAATCCCATTTGAACGCTATGGGCCACATCTGTGCGTTAGAGTAGTTTTGTGACAACTTGCAAAGCTAGACAGTCTATATAATATGGGATGGGAGTTGTTCTGTGGTGATGCTCAGCCACTGAAAATGTTATGTTCTTGTCAGTGCATTCTTCATCGAGCTGTTACATTTTGCTTTTCAGCAGAACTAGCTGAAAACTTGTGTAGCTATGTTGTCAGTTAGCTTTGTTGGTACTTGCTTGTGGCACCGTACTCGACTGCATGTGGGGTTTTTTGAGTTTTGGGGGGTTTTTTTGATTCTTCAGAGTGTGGTTTTAATGCTTGTAATAGTTGTAGTCATCGTGCTGTCCTTTCTAGGAACTTCTCTATTCTTCATACACTAAGCTGTCCTATGGAGAAGCTATTCTCAGGTGCTTTTGTATAATGGAATATAAATATTTAAAGAGTATCTGTTGTCTGCTCTGGAAGAAATCTGACCTGTTTCTGACATTGAATGGTAGCACATCCACACAAAGGCATCTTTGAATGCAGTAACTTCATAAGATCAGGAGGAATTCTCAGTTCCTACCTGTATATATTATCTAAATCATCATTGTTAGGGACAAAATGTATTTGTTAGAGATAGTTCCTCAAATATTTTTTTCTGCTTTTATTGGTCTAGATTGGGAAGATGACAACTTTGGAAAGTTGTTATAATCTTTAATTATTCAGTTTTCAGCTGAATTGAAATTATCTTAGCCTGAGGTTAGTTATAATTTAAAATATGAAAGTAATTTCTTTGGTTTTTTTTAACAAAAGGGAATTTTGAGAAACAAGCTTTAGGAAACTTGCTGTGGTAATTCAAAGTGTCACTACTCAGTTAATCTTCTCATGGACACAAGTTAGCAGTAGGGAATATCTGTCTACATCTCAGCTGCTCTGATATGAATCCAGTTGTCTTTTTAGCTTAAGCTGCTCGTCAGAATGGGAGCTAAGATGAAATGAGCCTATGAGCTGAGGTGATAGTGCACATTCCTTCTGCAAGGGTTATGATAATCTCTGGAAGAGAGATTGGTATGCCATTAACCACCATCCCCTGTCCCATGACATAATGCACAGATATTATTCCCCTATTCAATAGCCACTCACCCCTTCCCCAAATAAGAACATGTCATGCCTTGGGCTCCATCTCTGGAGGTGGTCACTCGGGGCAGGGGAAGTGGCATGTCAGACTGTGGGGTGCCAAGGCCTGCTTGGGTTGAGTCACTGCCACACTCTCCTGGTTCTCCGCAAGGCTCAACCTCCTTTGGTTCAAATGATTCTTGCTGTACTGTTCCTGTAACATACAACTCAAATCACAGGTTATTTCCCCCAGGTTTAATTCTCCTTGAGAGACACACTGGATTTCCCCATCCTTCTACGTTACCTACCAAATGCACTTGAACAAACATAATCCCACAAAGGGCTTTGCCTTTTCCCAAGGCAGGAGCAACCTAAACAGCATTTTCCAGCCACTGGAAAAGAGCTGGACTCTAATATGCAGTAAAGTGAGCAAGCTCAGTGACTGGCACAGGAGCCTGCCAATTAACAGTCATTATCTTTAGCCCCATGTTGGCACTGAGAAAGACTGGTGGGTTGACCCTGCCCAACAGCTAAACACGTACCCAGTGACTTGCTTACTCCCCTCTCTCCGTGGGAGAAGATAGAAGGAAGATGAGAAGACTTGTGGGTAGAGATAATGGCAGTTTGTGAGGAAAGCAAAAGCTGCATGCTCAAGCAGAACAAAAAGAGGAATTAATTGCTACTTCCCATCAGCCACTTGCTGGAAAGCAGGGCCTCGGCATGCTTAACGGCTGCTTGAGAAGACAAAAACAATAACCATGAACGTTCACCCTTCCTCTTCTTTTCCGTGAGCTCTTTCTTGCTGAGCACGACATCCTGTGGTATGGAATATCCCTCCTGTCAGTTTGGGCCGGCTGTCCTGGCTGTGTCCCCTCCCAGCCTACAGGCTGCAGGGGAAGGGGGGCAGGGTAGAGTGGGGAACTGTGCAAGCACTGTCCAGTAATAGCCAAAATATTTGTGTATTAACAGCAGTGTTTTAGCCAAAAACACAAAGCACAGCACCATACAAGCTGCTGTGAATAAAGTAGCAGCCAGACTCATTCCACCAGGGAGGTCATGGATTTGAACTCATGAAGTAAAATTGCCCACATCTTGCCGGTGAAAGCCCTTTACCTGGACAGCTACAGTTGTTTGCAGTAGGATTATTGAAGCTGAATAACTAAGGGGGTTTTAAAGCTTTTGCGTCTTTGTGCACTTGACTGCATGGTTCATGTAAGCTTTACTGTTTCATAGCTAAAGGTGCATATGAAGAAATAAGCATGTACATGATCACACAGTTATTCTCCATCATTTGTTCCGTGGACCAATATCAGAAAGAGGAATATTTTCTGGTTTTCTCCTGCTTGAAGAAGAGAAAGTGGGATTGTATAATGATGAGAGTACTTAATCCCGCTGTTTAATTTAGTGACAATTACTAGCTATTAAGTTGCCAGTTCCTCAGAGTACTCACTAGAGGACTTGGTTTCCTTGTTGTGGGATCTTTTTATGTAAAAGAAATTGACAGTTAAATGAGTATACATAGCAGGTAGGACATTCTTTGTTTGCTTTTAATGTCTTCTCCTGTTATGTTCTTACAAGCCTTACTCATGCTTGAAATTGGTCCTTATTTTCTGTCAATCAACGAAGCTGTGGGATGTGATAGCAAGGCAATCATTGGAATTTCATAGCTTGAGGCGTCTTACTGCTCTAACTTGCAGGTTTCCTTATGTGCAGTGGTCTTACATGATTATTTTTTGAGTACTGGGTTGTTGCTTCCCAGATATGTAAAACGGAGCCAGATGAAGTGTGAGAGGATGGAAAAGTGAAAGACATAATGAGACTGTCATGGGGCTGACTGAATATGACACACTCTGAATAGACAGGCTGCTGCTAGGGAAATGATTTGCCTTGGTTATACATAGGGGCTAACTGAGCACTTTTTCTTTTTTTTTTTTTTTTTTTTGCTAGCAGTGACAAGACAACATCTGGGCCTCTGCAGTCTCTCTCCCAGTCTTCTTGGGTTGTTCTGGCCTATCCACATTGTTTCTGTAGCTTTTTGTGGCTCTGGATGGCTAGTGAAGAGGGATGTTCAGTCTAATGGCCAATTGCTGCAGCTGGCTAAAACGGTGGCAGGAACCTGTCAGGTAAACACATGAAAGTATTTTACATTTTTGTGCTCACCTTCCCAAACTGTATTACATGTCCTCTCACCTATGTTTTCCTTTAGTTGCTGTATAACATTGCTTTGTGTTTTTTCATTTTGAGACAAAAATCCATCATTTTTTTCACCAAGAGAGAATCAATACTTCTTCTGAACTTGAAAACGAAATGTTAATGATGTCTAATTCAAGTACTTTGTTTCTGACTTCAGAAAAGTGCAAAGTTAAAAATATTGTCCTTTGCATACTGTTTCCTCAAGTTGAGCATTATGGAGTGATGCTAGAATGTTAATGTAAAGTTTATTTCATTTTTGTTATATTGATTTAGTTTCTGCATTTTAAGATTCTGAAGTGTAATGTGTTCACACATTTTGTTGTCAATGGTAGATCGTAGCCCCACTGTAATACTGTGTGTATTACTATTATCGAAGTATCTTAATACTGCATTTTATGGGTAGCTGGTGATCCATGCTCCCTTATGGAATTCTGTTGTTCTCATTTGTTTCTGTTACTTTTACTTTGACATCCTGTGTTCTTTTCCCCCCAATTAGCAGAGATGCACACTTACTGCGTAGTTTGTTTCAAACTATTTATAAACTATGGGGAAGAGAAATAAAGGGTACACCACACTTACTTATACTTCACACTCGTGTAGGAGGATTTGCTCTTTTCTTCAAGGGTGCATAGTTGTAGGTTCTACAAAAGGTGCTGCTGTTCAGAGAACAGTGTTAGACTGAATAGCTTTGTGGCACCACCAATGTATTATAGACAATTGTGGGTTTATAAATGTTCATGGCTGTTCTGATTTTCACTTACTGTTAAAGTATTATTTACTATGATCCTACTGTTCGTTTTCAGGTTCTTTTCTTGGACATTTTGTGCTTTTTCTGAAAGGACTTGCATAAATTATACTTCATGTATGATGCTATTATAGTTTTAAGAATTTTTATATTCCTTCACTTAAAGGGGCATAAAATTGAGCAAATTCTTTTGACTCCTCTCAGTCTTTGTGAATAGGAAGAACAATTGAGGTATACACATAGATATGTTTTTTTCCTATTGCCGTGCTTAAAATCCTGTCCTGGTATAAATTCTAACTTGTATACCAGTTTGCTAATAGATGGTACATACTCAACACCACTGGTTTGTATATTTGCAGTCTAGATTGCTTCTGCCTGAAACAAAGGCACAATAAGCACCAATACTGCTTATTTACAGCATCTGAAGTTGTCTGCCCAAGTGTTGTATACTGTATGGTGTTGTTCAGATGCACTGGTTGAGAGAGGAATAAATTTCTAGTATAGGTACAACCTTGAGACAGAGAGACAGTAAAACCACAGGCAAATGGAAATGACATTACAAGAAATCGTTAGAGAGACCATGACCACACCACAAAACCCCGATAAAATTCAGTAGTGTGTAAAAAAAAAAAAAAAAACCAAACAAAAACCAGAAAACCCCCCCCAAAAAAACCCAACAACAAACCAAACAAAAAAAAAACAAACCAAAGCCACAAAACAAAGAAACAAAAAAACCCACACCCACAAACAAAACAAAAAAAAAATCCCCCCAAAAAACAAAACCAAATTCATCAGGCAAATACAAGTTGAAAGCAGAATCATTGTCTCATGTGAAACTTACAGCACAATATTAGACTTCTCATTTCATACCTTGTTCTGCTGTTCTGTCTAATCAGATGGTTTGACATATTGAACACCAGATACACAATTGTAACGATGCCTGCTTCTTGGTATTTTGATTTATATTCTTTCTACTACTTTGAGGTAAATTTGCTGTGCATGTATTAAAAAACTTAATAAAATAAGTGGTGTCTAGATATAGCGCAAAAAAGATTTGAAAAGATTTGAAATATCTTTTTTTTTTTTTTCTCCTTATGGAGGAAGGTGACACTAATAATGGTGGGTCTTGATAACGCTGGTAAAACTGCTACAGTCCGAGGAATTCAAGGAGGTAAGCAATTAATTTGTTTATCATCTAAATGGAGCACTGAAAGAGAGACTATAATTACTATTTTTCCATCATTTTAATCTAAAAATATTGCTTCATCTCTAATTTATCTCTCCCTCCCATATTGGTGAAAGAAAATTTTAGTGGTTGTACCACCAAAAGTGGTACAGGTGTGTTTGCCAAAGTGAGCATGTCACAGGCCCTCTTGTGTGAAGACCTAAAGATGAGAGAAAAAATTAATGGGTCATACCTTTGAAACATAAAGATCCTGATTTTTGATATCTGGCAAATCATGCTCGAGTGACTTGAAAAGTAGGTACTCCCAGTCATGTGCTTTATGCTCAGGAGAAGTAGCAGAGCAAGCTCTGTGTTTGCTCATTGGCCACTGCACTTATGAGCTAATGTAGGCCGAGTCAGTGGTAGTTAAATAAAGTTGCTACCATTCTGCTTCATCTTTTTCAAAGGTAATAGTATGGCGTAGAGGCAAGGTAGGTAGTGTGGACAGAGCGGCCTCTTAAGACGCTGCACTGTGAAGTGTTAGAGCCCTTAGTCCACTGAGGCAGAAAAAATTAGTCCATAGAGGTGTTTGTTTATCTTGGAAACCCTAAGACCAAGTATTCAGACTACCTTGGTGCTTACATGCCTTGAGTTGACCATTGTATTGTTACCTGTGCAAAATGCTAAATTGCAACAAATTCTGTACCATATTCTTGTTTAAATTTCATGAGCATCATAGTGTATTTTTGGACTAGAGTAAGGTTTTTTTCAGTAGTTGAATAAATAGCTGAAGGAACATTGTAACTACAAGCAAGGCGTCTGTCTCCATCAGTTGCTTTAAGTGAAAGAAAGTATAGGACGAAACTGTGAAGGCTGTAGACCACATTCTAACTAATAATTACTTTGAATTGGTGCAATGATAGAAACTATTCTGGTTAACGTGTGTTTCACATCTTAGTATACATTCGAGAAATCAATGGACCCCTGATTTTTTCTTCTTCTTCTTCTTGTGCGTGTGCTGAAGTTGCTTTCAGGTGACCATTTGGTAATGCATACACATCAGTAAACTTTATATAAAAATCAGTGTTGTAAGTATGTAGTATGAGAAAAAGGTTCAAAAGAAGGAAATTGCACATGTATGTACATAACATAAAGGATGGTTCTAGTGACACATATTTTAAATCACTATTTATCACCAGAAAAGTGCTAGCAATTTTCTAGGCGCTTACTTCAGTAAGAGACCACTTGATTTTGGAGGGTACTTTGCACCATGCAATGACACATGCAAGCAGGATACAATTTGAGATAAAACTTGTCCTTATGAAAACAAAAGTTCTCTAGGTGTTGGGTTTTTTTTTTTTCCTCCTTGTGGGATTGTCTTTCTAAATAACTTTCATCTTGTGTAATAACAAGAGTGTACTTAGTAGTGTTTTGGCAGACTTGGAGACTCCACCTCAACTTACTGTTTGTGGGTTATGTAAGTTCACAGACTTGCTTAAGTGTGAATAGTTATGAATATTCTCTCATTTATTTTTGTGAATCTTTGCCCTGAAAACATAAGTGCTTAATCATTTAGCTTTCCATTCTGTTTCAAAATCAACTTTAATGTCTTTATCAGCTAAATGTGACAGTTATTTCTAAAAGTCCTTTTTTTTTTTTTTTTCTAGGAAAGAAAGGGACAAAGGTGGATATTTCTAAAGGGAAACTCCAGGAAAAGATAATTCTGACTTCTGTGACTGTTTCCCAGGGCTTGTCTTAGAAAGCAGGGTTGTTTGTTTTTTTCCTTAACAGGGCTCGTAGAGATTAGAACCTTCAGTTAGTCTTCAGGGTTCATAAAACCAGTATTTTTGTCTCTGCACCAGTCATACAGCCTATAGGGGGAGACTGCAGTTATGACTGGTGGGTTTTAGCAGAAACCAAATCTATTTCAGTTCTTAGGACTTAAATCCAGGCAAATTAGCGTGGTCACCAAAGTCATATTTGCCAAAATAGATCTGCAGCTTAGATGGCAGACCCTGTTTTTACACTGGAGGCTGTTTATTATTGGAGACTTCACTGTACAGATGTTTCAGCAATATCCCCTTACATTCAGCACCATCAATAACTTTCACCCTTAACCAACCCTTATGTTCACATTGTTCTCTCTTGTAAGAACACATACGGTGCAAAACATTCTTCAAAATAGCCTGCTGAGTTTTGAAGCTGTAGTTTTTTTACAAACAGGGTACTGGACCCTCCTCTTGCTGTAGTCTTGGCTTACGCTGTTCTGGCCGAGGGGTCTGTGCTGAATCCCCATCTCGGCTATGTATGAAGGATTCTCTCAGAAAAGGAACATGGTAGTAGAAGCTGATGGTGATTTAGCTTCTGCACTGGTCTTCAGAGCTCAGTGCTTTTGACCATGCCTTTGGCACTTCTTCTCAACAAGCTGAATTCTACATCTGTTTTTCCCTGCCCTGTGCTACCAAGCACATGAAACAGTTGCAGAGATCCAATTAACTCAGCCATTGCAGAGACAGCTTAGCGGTGTGAGGAAAGTACAGGCTTTCTTTGCCCTCCAGAAAAGGAGACAGCAAGCAAAGGGATTAAATATAATAAAGCTGTAGTTTTTTAGTGTATTGCATGGCAAACTAAAAACCAGAAAATAAAACTAAACAAACAAAGGCCAAAACTTGATTCTGAATAAAGAGAATCAAATAGTTTACAGCTCAGAAGAACATGGTTTCAGTCACTTCATCTCCGCCCTTGGTTTGAACTTTTGAAACTATTTTGGCAACTGTGAGGGATAAAGAATAAATTTGGCAGAGCACAAGGCTTCCCAGGTCATAATGCATTAACTGTTTTGTTTGTTTTCCTTTTCAAACTTGGATTAGTACCATGCAAATGCTGTGTAACTGTTCAGATGGGAGCAGTGGTGGTGAGGGGGAAAGTAGAAACTGCAGTACACTGAACACCACTGCAATTTAACTGTGATGTTAAATATTAAAAATTGCATTTTTTGCTCTTTTTTTTTTTTTTCCCCTGGTGCTTCTGTCTAAATTGATGTAAGGTAACTGGTTGAGAGACTAGTGCGTTAATTTGAAATTACCCGAGAAGGAAAATCTTAATGTAAAAAATATGTGGTTAGCAGTATGGTGTCACTTAACAGGGAGGGTTTGCTCCATGTTTTTAAAATACAAATTTTGCTACACAAATCACAATGTAAAATCCTCTTTGAATAACTAGGGATGCTTTTTTACTGAAGCCTTTCTTCTTTGAACTCTAACAGAGTCTCCTGAAGATGTAGCTCCAACAGTTGGGTTTTCCAAGATTGACCTTAAACAGGGACGCTTTGAAGTCACCATCTTTGATTTAGGAGGTGGAAAACGAATTCGAAATATCTGGAGAAATTACTATGCCGAGTCCTACGGTGTAATATTTGTTGTGGATTCCAGTGACATTGCAAGAATGGAAGAAACAAAGCAAGCCATGATAGAAGTTTTAAACAGCCCTAAGATATCAGGAAAACCTGTGTTAGTGTAAGTAATGTTAATAAATATTCTCTTAATAATCTAAAATTTTGTAAATCTTGACCTTCAGTATACCTTCTAAAGTATTTATGTATAGTATAAACATAAGTATAAAGTACAGTAATACTACTGCAACTTTAGCAGTAAGCTACTAAGTACAATTAGTTTTATCGTATTTCTGAAGTATTTATTTATGCCAGTCCTAGTATTATACTAATGAAAAAAGCCTTTCCTGCCTTCCCTCTTGGGTTGTACATGGTGATATACAGAATTCATTCACTGCATCTGACGTTAGACCTTACTTCGTCGTTCTCAAGGATGTTTATTTCTCTTCTCTTTCATCAGCAGTGGAAAAAAATAAGAAGATTGGTTGGGGTTTAACTCTTTAAAATTCTAATATTACTTGAAATGATATGATAGGTTAAAGGCTTGAAATTATATGATAGGTTAAAGGCTTTGCAAGTTTGGCATGGCAATATGGTGTAAAAATATTGTTACTATTTAGGTCTGCATCAATTACTTAAATTCTAAATGGTTTATTATATTCTGCAATACCAGTAGTCTCTCAGCAATGAATGTCTTTTTCATTTAACACATGGTGGTGCTGCTGATACAAGATCAGCAAAATCTTCTTAAAGAAGGCTTACTTTAATAGCATTTGGCATGTGCTTTTGTTTCAGTGCGTGTGTTTTAATTTTTAAAAAAAAAAGTATTTCAAAAGGTCGAGAGACATGCTTTCATAGAACAGATAGATTCATTAACTTCTCTGGTTAGAAATTAGGTTTTGTAAAATACTGGAAATAACATTTTATCATGTTCAGCCACACAAATTTGTCTTTGAGGACAAATACCCTTTTGAGGTTACAAAATAAACTGTGAAAGTTTAAAACTGTTTATCTTTGTTGATAAAGTATCTTTATGTCTGGTGGGCATAAGACCTCTATAATGCAGTAATTACTCAACATTTCTGTGATATCATAAAGAATCTCTAAAGGTAAGAGGAGAGACCTCTTACTTTTAAGAAGTAGTGATGCGCTGGTGGTTTGAGGGTGAAACTGTAATTGTTTTGATGAAGTGGAGTGTAGTTCAGGAAGCTGATAGTGTATATGTTGAAAATTAGATTAGATTTTAACTTCCATTGCTATCTGAATGTTATTAGTACAGGGAAGGCAATAAAACCAACTTAATGCAGCTAGTTTAAGTCAAATCTGTTCTGAAAATGCAACTCTGACAGTTGACAGCAGTGCAGTGTTTCTAAATAAATACAACTCCAGGGTTTTTTTTCATAGAAATCTCTATGCCCTAATCCCATAATGAGAGTTTATTTGGGTTACTGACTGTACCTGCAGAGAGCCCGCTCACTTCCCTGCGACTTGACCCTGCTTTTTGATCCATGTCAGTAGCTAATCAGAAGGCAGAGTATATTAACTGAGTCTAATGGTGACTAAAATAAGTTTGTTGATGTTATTGCCTTCTAATTGATTGAGCCTCAAGCCTTTGAACAGAATTTGCTCTTGCAGTGCCCCAGTCCTGTGGAGCCATCCAGTAGTTCTTTGTCTTATGTTCCCTGTATGAGCCTGCATCTTGCATTACGGATTCATTCCTGCATTGTCTTTGCTTCCTGTTTGGTGTCTGTGTTTATGGCATAGCTGTGATACTGTTGGCATGTTCAAATCACTTGAATTTGCTCCAGTGTTTGAAGCACTTTCTTATAGTGTGAAGTCTGCGAGTTGTGAAGCCGGAAGGCTTGGTCACTAAACACTAGCGTTTGTGGTATGGAAATGGAGTGCTTAGCAAATGAGATTAAACTGGTCCCATGCACCTTCCCTTCTCTGAGGATCCTTTGGTTGAAGATGCGAATCGGTATCACTTATATTTGCCGAATAAGAGTTCTGTGGCATAAACTTTTTTCCCTTGAGTCCCTAAAATGGAAAATTGAAAATGTGTCAAGAACAGAATAAAGGAAACATCAGATTTCAAAATTTCTGGTGAAAGTTAGCCTTTTTTAATATTTCCTTCTTCTAAGGCTGTTCAGCTTTTTGTTGGTTTTTTGTTTGTTTGTTTTTTTTTAATAGTGAGATACTTGCTATCCACGAGCAATAAGTTCCCTAATATCTTGCTAAGTTTCTAAATAGTGCAGTTTAGTCTGTGCGTGTATGTGTGAAGGCCAGAATTTACTGAAATGAATACAGTGACCTCTGAGTATTAAATCCAAGAAAGTTGGAAGTTTAGGTAATTCCCTTCTCTCCTATGGTTTTGCAGTCCAGAGCACAATCTATTTCTCTTTTCATAGAATATTGTTATAATTTCATGCCAAAGGAGAGAGAATCCTCCTCTGTGATTTCTACAAGTGTGTCTCTGGTATGGTGGGCTACTGTTTTCCTCCAGCACTTGAATAAACAAGAAGCAGAAAAACAGGGGTAATTTGTTTATTCTCTGCTGTCTGTGGGTGCACAGATTTCTCTGCTGTGTTATTTCTATGCTTAAATACAAAGTGCTTATTCATTAATGTTTTGTTGATTAACAATTACCATCTTAAAAACTAATAAAAGAACCTAAACTCTAAAGGAATGAAAAGGAGTGAGCAATAACTTCAAAGTGTGTTTCTGCTGAGGCATAATGAAAGAGGTGTTGGTGACTTGATCAGAATGAAACAATTCATATATTTATACTGGATGTTCTGGGTTCTTTTTAAGCATATATTGAACCAATATACCAAAGTTTCAACAGTCAGCACTGAATTTTAGTCTAATGTTATTTACCATAACTTGTGCTCTATGCAGTATCTGGTACAGTGAAGTCTATATAAGTATGCTGTAAGATTGGATGCGAGTCCATTTTGGAATTTGAAGGTAGCAGCAGAAGTTGCTGTATATGCAGTATCAGGTGTACCATTGTGTGTACCTAGCATCTGCTTGTCTTTGAAGTAACCTGCTGGTTATGCCTTTTGGTTTTTTTGGTGTACTTCTGGTAGATAATAATCAAGAGAGAATTACCTTTTTCTTTTGCATTTATGGGCTTTTGTCTATTGGGACAAAACTAATTTTGCTGGTTGGATTGGGAGAAAAATAGAATCTTCATGACTGGTAGCTAAGATAGACCTTTGAAATAAAGAAATAAACCATTGCTCATCAGACAGCTGAATTCATGTATTTATAAAGGAACATTCCAGTTATCAGGTTATCAATATCATATTTGTGGCTGTGCCCTGGAATATATTCCTTGTTAGTTAGTAAAACTTGGAAAGGAGTGATACTGCAGTGGTAGCAATGGTAAGGACAAGACTTCTTGCCTCTGGATAAGAATTCTGATCTGCCCGAGTTGTCATCTTGATCAGCCTTTATAACCATGAACTACCTCAGCATATGTAAAAGAAAAACTTGAAACAGAAAATGCATTTCCTGTTAGGTAAATTAATTCTTACTAGAACTTTCATCCTATTTTACTTGTAGAGTTCCTGGTGTTCAGAACATTAAGAGGAGTGCTGATGAATGCATTTAGAAAACTGCTTGTTCGATAATAGTTCTAAGGGGAAATAAAATACAATTTGTATAACTCTGTACTAATGAATAAAGACATTCCCTAATATATTCACCTTTTCTTACATATTCTGACTTCTCTTACTAGTTCCTGAAGTCTCCTTCTCTTCCCTTCCTCCATTCAGCATTTCCTCTCTGGCCGAGTAAGCACATGCTGTGTCTGGTTGTGGTGCAACAAGCGAAGTACTCGGCTGTCTGTCGCCTTTGAGAATAGGTGAAGTGAATGAACTAAAACTAGTTTTGGTCTCTCTTCTACCTGTATGAATTTGATATAGGTCAGCGTTACAGTTATTGTAGGAGCTAACTGTCCTTGCAAAAATGATCTAAAAAAGTAGTGGGGCAAAAAAACGTTTTCCACTCAGGTAAGCAAATTTTGATGTGATGTAATAGGTAAAATATATGCTGAATCATGAAGTTCCTTTATCTAAATGTACTCCCTTTTTATGTTTAAATATTTGAAAACAAAATAACGTCCTAATTTAGATAACTGTATATTTCTGCCTGTAAAAAGATAATGTTGTTTATAACTCTGGGGTCTGGTTCATTACCATAAAATCATCTCTGATATAGTAACGTTTAAATAGAAGTATTTTCTGGTTATTTGCTGTTATGTGATGGCAGGTGTGTCCACTGCTCTATGTATCCGTTCAATGCTCTGTAGATTCATTCCATTGCAAAATTTTCATTCCGTTTCAAAATTTTCTTATTTGCTGATGCGGAGTTGGAGTTGTAAAAAAACCCCAAAATCCAAAAAACTAGCCCTCCCCCCAAAAAACCCCAAAACAAAACAGAACACACAAACCCTCCCCCCACCAAGAATACGAACAAACTTCAACAGCAGTACACTTAATGGTCGCCAGGAAAGGCTTGGGAGTCTGACGCACAGTCCTTAATGAAAGTAAACAAATTAAACTTTCTTGTCTCCCCCTTTTATTGTTGTTCTTTGGGTGCTGTTCACCACAATGAGCCACACTGTATATGGTAGCTCATTGACTTACTCTGTCTTGGAGGGAAACAGCTGCATGTCCTCCCTCTTCCTGAGAGGACATGTCCGTCTAACACTGTAGTTTGGTCAGATAGTGAGGGTGGAGACCATTCCAGCTTCAGCTCCTGCTTGTCAGGACAGGTCTCCAACACTGCATCAGCAGGTCTTGCACACTACATGCCCTCATGCTATGTCCCAAAACTTGAAGCATATGATACCAACATGAGCAATTCTTTCGTAAGATGCATTGCACTGATCATTATTTTGGATGTGTTGAATTAAAATAATTTTATATATGTAAGTCCTAAGGCTAGAGGCATGTCACATGCAGCCCACAAGAGATTGAGTTCAAGTGCTGTAGGGTGAATGTGACCAGTTTTCTCCAGAAGTGGATCTCCAAAAGCTCTTCGCTCCAAACAGCGTACGTGGGTGCCAATCCACACCACTTTATCCAGGGTCCAGAGCTTGCTCTCTGGCACTGTCCACAAAGACAGTGTAGTTATAATTTATCACCTAGGTGAGCAACTAAGTTAATATGTGTGTTGGAAGAAGGGGGGGAAGGAGAGGTGGGAGAACAATTTTTGGATATGTTGTCCAGCTAGGACTGTGGTGTGTGCAGTAAAAGCGTTTTAATCGTAATGTGTAGGGAGGTCTGTAAATGAGGCCCTCAGTTCTTTTAAATGAAGTATGTCAAAAATCATATCCACAACAAGCACTTAAAAATCTTTCCAGAAGATGAGTAGGTCCTTGAAAAATGTATGTGTTTTATTCTGGAAAAAGTAACTTTTCTTTCTTAAAGTTAAAATTCTCATATTTTTAAGTGCTAGCTTTTCCCAGTACTGTTTCTATTATTTCTTTGAATAACAGAACATTTCCTCAGAATATTTTTTTTATTTTGTTTTACATCTGCCAAAACAAGCAACAGTCCTTTCTGAAAAGCACTGGGAATTAATGTCAATTTACCTTACTGCTTGTCTTGGATGTCTTTTGTTCTTAATCAACTTTATACTGTGACTAGTGCTAGCAAGATATCACTGTGAATTATTGTGGGTAGATAGGTTTCATTTCACAATGAAGATCATGATCCATTACTAAAAAGTTCGAGATGCAGTATTCATTACAGAGCAAGTAGAGTTGGAGTCACTGGCCCACTCTTCCTTTCACCATCTTTTTTTCCATCCCAGTCAATTGTATGGTATGCCCTAATCCCGTAGTACGCCTTTGCATGTGGCAGCTCTGCTTTTTGCCAGGGGTAAAAAGACAAACTCCTAACAGAAGAAAAGTAAAGGGGAAGACAACTCTTGCTCCTCATTCTCCCTGATAAAGGAGTGGATAGTGAGCCTGAGCACTATGCAGGGAGAAGTAAAGGCCCAATAGCCTGGAGAAAGAATAAGCTGAATTGTGCGATTTGGGCATGAGATTGGTACAAGACACTCTATTACAGTAATATGTGAATATAAGAGTTTTGATATCGTTCACTGGTTCAAATTGAATTGGTACTGTGGCATCTTATTATCTATCAGTGCTCATGGGGGTATCACATCATTTTAAGACTATTTTCTTAAAGTACTCATAGTATTGGCTGTTACTGACTCTTAGTGCAAATTACTTGAAGATGTTAAACTTTATATTTGGCCCTTTTTTTTTTACTGTTCAGTGTTACTACTTAATTTATGTTCGCTTTGCTCACATAGGCCTCATTTAACACTCAAGTGCTTAAGTAGTTAATCAGTCTTATGTACGGGGAAATCAAGTTGTAGAAAGCAAGAGTTCTTGCAGTTCTTATGTTCATGGGTCAATTCTGTCAGCATCCTTAAGACTTACAGGTGTGCAAGTTTAAACTTTCTTCTCAGAATTTTTTTGTCCTTTTATCAGAAAGGAACACTTAGACTTCATATTATGTAGGCAAGTACTGCTTTTGTTTGCGGTTATTTTTGTATTTGTTGTTTTTTGTTTTGTTTCATTATTTTTTACTTGGACATGAAATGTGTGTGAAAGGAAATACACGTCCATGTGTTATGGCTGATATTTTTATACAAGAGAGATTGGTGGGCAAGTTTTTTTGGTTTTGGTTTTTTTTTTTTTTTTTTGGTAGAAAGCTACTTTCTACCTGTTCTTTTGGTGACGAGGGAAGCTCTGCTCTAATTTGTTTCCTCTTCTGCTTAACTATGTAACTAAAAAAACCCACTGGAAAGTTATTTTAATGATTACTGCAAAACTCCTGCTGTTAATCATTTTGAATGTTCAATATCAAATTCTCATGATGTCAATGTAAATTGTAGTTCATACTATTTACTTTCAGTTAATAGCACCTTCTATTAAGAAAAAGCTTTCCACAAGACTTTGTGGCTTTCTTCCTTCTCAGTTCTTCTGCAGTGTGTTACATATGTTTCTGTTTAGCCATTCATTTACTAACCAATACACAGCTGATAACTACTTGAATTATTTACTTCTGTATGAATAGGCAGCTGTCTTCCCGAGTATTAGTGAAACTCGAGTTTTCTTCCAGGATTTAAAGTACAGCTCTTGTTTGACAAGACTGTGTTAACTTCAAAGAAACATATCTGTTTTGTGAAAAGGAAGGGCTAGCCCAGGAACACATTTCTCGCTCAGATAAGGATGCTTGTGAGAACACTCCTGCATGGGGAATGCTGTGTAAACAGGTGGTGTTTGTTGAATTTCATTTTTCTGTTCTCTCAACGCTGACTGCAATAATCCCTCACAGAAGTACTGTAATACCTTTCTTTTTAAGGGCCCAGGAGAGGAGGAAAGGGTTATCTGTTACCTACCTTTGTTTTTTCTAAAAGTAAAAACAGGAAAAGATGATGGGGTGGTGTTTCTGTGTAGTGAATGTTTCTGTGTGTATTCTATATGTTTATATACATATCCATCTATCTATCTATCTATCTTTGAAAGCGCATGTAGGCTATAGCAACTTTTTTCTCTGTATTGCTTATTGGCTAGTTTCTACTCTGCCCTTGGAACATAAAGGCAGCTTCCATATATGTAAGAGTTAAGGGAGATTATTTATTGAAATAATATCTATGGTGTCATTATCTAATATTATTTTTTTGCTGTTGCTGTGTAAATAATCTTTTCCACTTTACGGCTCAGACCTCTGATTGTACTTTGATAACAGTTTATTTCAGTTGCAATTTTAAGCTGGGATGGAAGGAATCCAACTATTTATAGATATCACAATGTGAAAATAATTCAGTAGTGCCTTTTGATAGTAGATTGATTCCCCCCTGCCCCCAGATGCAATTAAAGACATTTTAACTCGTTTAGTGTCTCGTAGAATTGCAGTGCAATTTGCTCTGACTTCTTTGACTGTACCCAGATGTAGTGATACTGACTGTGTCTTTGCACAGCATAAAGGAGTTCAGAAATACATTCCTGGTTTGGTGTTTGGTTTTAATGTTTGGGGTTTGGTGGTGGTTGGTTTTTGTTTTGGTTTTTTTTTTTTTTTTTGGAAATAACTCTTTCATCTTAGTTGCATTGTTATTTTCTGTTAAATTGTGTTACAGCACTATTTCTCATTCAACACATTCTCATTCTCAACCCCAAAAGGGGTTAGGTACAAGGCAGAAACCAACCATTTGGGCTATGGAAAGCAAAAGTGCTCAGCATCTGCATGCTTCTCCTCACTGCAGAAATGACTGCTGCTGCAAAATAAAGCAGTGGTATACTTCCTGTCTTGCTAATTCAGCTATTTCATAAAGAACATCTAAGGTATCTTCAGGGACAGTTTGAGTCAATGGCTAGCTGCTCTGTTTGATGTACTTAGGGGAGGTATTCATATTTACTACTTTAGGCATCTGTTTTCCATGCATAAATGAGGATCCTAGGCTTCTACACTTAGCAGAATTTCATGGAAACATTTAGAGTTCTGGAAATCCTCAGCTAGTTCTTCTGGCCACTCCTGTGGTAGTATAAATAAATGCATGTCCGATACTGTGTCCGGTTCTGGACTTCCTACTACAAGAAGACTGTAAAGATGAATGTTGATTATACTATAGTGAGTCCACACCGCTTGGGTATTGGAGTGTGTGACGTATGAGGAGAGTCAGAGAACTGCGTTTGTTCAGACTTAAGGTGAAGAAACTGAGGGAGAGATCTTCCTGCTGCCTACTAGTAAGGTGTGAAGATAACTGAACAAGGCTCTTCTCAGAGGCGTGGTGATTGGATGAGAAGGGGTGGAGAAGAGCTGCAAGCAGGGAAATTCCTGTCTTGATTTGAGCAAGAGTTTGAATAAGAGGTTGGCCTGGATGTCCCCCAGAAATTCCTTCCAACCTAAATAATCCTCTGGTTCTAGATTATGTTTTTATAAGGATGGACTTCCATTTTCTTATTATTTCTTCCTTATTTTTTTACTAGTGAAAGAGACTGCAGAGGCAACTGCATACTTAGATAGGCTAGGCAGCAGTAAGATTGCTGTGTAATAAAGTATCATATTCCCCTATCCTTACCTGCTAGGGGTCTGCCTATGAAGTTGAATAACGTAAATATCTCTATGTCAGTTTATTAATGCTTGGCTTCTCAGCAGGCTGCTAACAAGTCCCTGTAGGTTTGGTCATATACTCTTCTGCTGCTAGTGATCTTTAATGTGTTCAGAAAACATCAGCTCAACACCGATCTGTAAGAAATACAGCATGGTGCTATTGAAACAAATAACCCAATGTCTGTTTTGCTCTCCATAAGATGGTGCACATTGTCCTGCTATAACATTATTTCATGGTGTTAAGTAGGTAAGTAAGCCTGTAAGTAACTTTCCCTATAGAGGTGGTATAGAAACACACTTGAAACTGTTTTCTGTATTCTTGTTTGGTTTAGGCATCACGTTCTAGATTGCTAGTAAAGTTGTCTGCTTTATGTGTTGATGGTTTGGGTTTGGGTTTGTTTTTTGTAGAATTTCAGATTCCTGGGAGAAAAACTTAGAATTTTAAAAGAGTAAATATGAGTGCTAAGAAAATCACAAGGCAATTACAAATACTAATTGTTTCTTTGTAAAAGGTAACTAAACCATTGTTATGAATCTTGTCTTTGAGATTAACGATATTGTCAATGCTCCCCAAAAGCACAGGTCGTTTGTTGTTGCAATTTGAGTGGGAGAACAAAAAGTTGTCACTTGTGTCCTTTGGTCCTTTCCCCTAGTTCATGTGTTTCTGTGAAAACCATAAAATTCTTTGCATTCTTCTAACTCTGTTTGGGAAAACAGATGCAGTTTTTTCTGAGAGCTCTGTGGAAGGGGAAATGGGAAGAAAAATGAAGCAATTGAGGGATCCAGAGACTGCTTTGCAAGATCAGTTTACTAAATAGGAACCATTGGTATTTCAAACAGTTAATTTCTTTTGTCATTTGCAGCATGGACAACACCAGCAGCAAACTGCTTTGCAAGGGTTTCTTTTCCGATACTTGACTGCAAGCCCAAATTTTTCTTTAGATACTTGAGTGTATTCTTGAGTCTTGTTCATACTGATTTCAATGTTGTTGATCATCTCCCCTTGCTCCTCCACCAGAACTGATATCTGGATAAAAAGTTCTTTTAAGTCTTTCATCTGGTTCTCCAGATTAACTAGTTCTTTGTGTCTCTGTTCAATCTCGGAAAGCTGAGCTTTGGTAATTTTGACTTCAGTGAGTAAATTTTCATTGAAAATCTCCCATTTTCCTTGTTGGAGCATGTCATTGACTTCTTCCTCAGATACCTCTTTACCAGCTACTTCAAGCTGACGGACAATAAATCTTCTGCATTTCTCTTGCTTGGCTGTTATAGCATTGTTGTATGAAAGCATAGCATTTAGGTAACGCTGGGATAAGAAAGCGTGCTGGTAAGCTAGAATTCTTACTGTGGCACGTGATGGCCCATGTTCACTTTCAGCCTTTTTCACTGTTTTTGACAGTTCATCCAAACATTTTCGTATGTGCTCTGCTTGAATTTTTATTTCTCTTGCTATGTTAGATTCCTTTTTAAGAACGCTGAATCTTCTCATTGAAGATACTAGCCTTTTTTGTTGTTGACTGAATTTATGAACTTCCTCCACCAAATCATTAATTTCATTCTGAAGCTTCTGGATTTCGTACAAGTGCCTTTCAGTTATGGGCTCTTTTTCATAAATAATGGCCTGCTGTTCAAACTCCTCTTGCTCTTCTTGTACAGTTGCACCATTGTTTTCCCCAGCTACCTGTAGTTCCTTAGCTCTTAGTTTTAGCTCTTGGAGGCGGTCTCTCATGGTTTTTATGTGTGGGTTTTTTTTTTTTTTTCAGGGTGGTTTTTTTTTTCCCCTCTTGCAACACAGGGAGTTAACTCCAATATCTTTTTTTCTTGTTTCACTGTAATAAAAGTGTAACAACAATCAATGCTAATGGTGATATGTATACATCAAAAGTAGTTTTGGAGATTAGGTCTACTTCCCTCTGCACAAAAGTAAAGTAAAAGTAGCAAAGAATTGGAAGTGGTAAGTATTCTCAACAAATGTACAAGATAGGTGGTGTCAGTGCACTCCACCATTTAATCCAGTTTCTGTAGGACTTAGTCGTAACCTAAGGTTATGATGGAAATGGTTAACAGTCTTCCATCAGCTTCTTCACTATAGTGTTTTTTTCACATGCAGTGGTTTGTAGTCCAAACCCATTTTTGTGGTAGATTTGTGGTTGTAGGTTCCACAACAATGAGGAATATGGCATGTGGAGAGGACTTTATTTTGGGAAGGAAGAGAGAAGTAATTCAAATTCTTATTTTATGATAATTCCCTATTTGATTAAAACTAACCAACTTTTAAATCTTTTTGTAGTGAATCTGAGGCTCCATTTTTGGATTCTCAGTAGGAAACACCTCAGCTTTTGAGGTTATGAGATAGACTATCTAATGAATCACAGTTCTGGCATGAATAAGCTGCTTTAGGCTTTTAGTTTAGCCACACTGAAAAACCTTTCTCCATTTTCCTTGCCCTCCCTTGCCTGCAGGGTTAAACTGATAGTAACTGAAGAAGTTAACTCTACAGCAAACCAAAGCAACAGAACTCTAATAATTTAGCATGAAAATTTTTTTAATGTCTGAGTTTTCACAGAGGTGGATCCATATCATTAATGTTGCAGCTTGGAAGATTTCCTAAGCCTTTTTTAGATTACTGGCATCTATTCTTACATTGTCATTTGCAGGCTTCCTAAAATTTATGATGATGTACTTTGTTCACCATAGTAGGATACAATTCAGTACTGTTACTTATTTAATAGAAAGTGGATTTAGTTCTGTTTTGTACCCTAGCTGTTGTGCAAGCCTTACTGGAGATATAATTAAGAGAAAGTTTCTATTGTGTATGTTTCAGAAAATACCTAAGTTCAACTATTTTTCATTATAGGGAAGAAAGTATTTTCCTAAAACTCTACGTGAGTGTTTTCCTTGACTATGATCAAGAATGGAAAATTTCAGTAAAAAGTAAAATTATCAGGACTAGATTATGGGATTTTTTACTTGGAGTCTTCTGGTTAAATAAAATGTGTGTCTTTCAAAGGGCTGTTCAAGTGTAAATGTTAAACAGGACAGTAGTATGTTTTGGCTGTTTTCAGAGGTTTCAGGGCAGTCTTCTGAAATAGTAGTGTTTTATAGGTGCATTTCTTCTCTGTGATATTCAAAAGGATGCATTTGTAATAACTGCAAAGGATCAATCCAGTAACCTGCCAATATGCAAACGATTTTGTTACATTTGAATAGTTTCAAATGATACCACTGTGGTATCTCTGCTCTCTTATGCATATTTAAAGTCCCTAAGTAGATTTTTGCATAAGTCATGGAGTTGAACAGTATGAACATGTCTTCCACAGTCTTAAATCTGGCTGTCTGCAGGAGGATTAGCTGAAAAACAAATCTTGAAATGCTCGGAGATCAGTCATGAGAAAGAATGTTGATATTGTGCCCTAGTGTGGAGTTCCTTTACTGCGTGTTTTTTTTTTTTTTTTTCCCCCTTAATGCCTCAATACCCGAATTCAGTGTTTGTTTGATTCATATCAAGAGAATCCAAAAAGCCTGGCAGTGGTTAGAAGTTATGGTAATGTACTGAGACTTGTGATCAGGCAAGCTAGCAAGTAATTTATTGGAAAACATTACTTCGGGGTGGGGAAAATGCAACATGTATTAGTCTTGTTACAATAATTCCTCTTCATTGCTTAACTTGCTGTGTGTCTCTCTACAACAGAAGTCAGGCAATTTCTTCACGATAACATTCTTAGGAATGTTTCAGAGCTGTTTGGCACCACCAAGACTGCTGCAGGGAAAGTTCAGTCTGGGGCATGTGAAAGGAACCAGGAGTGCTAAACAAGGCTTCAGAGAAGTGACCTGAAAATCTGTTTTAGTATAGCCTAACACATCTGTTGACCCATGTTAATTTAGTCTGGCTTGACAAGCCTGTGATTAAAAGCAAGTTCTAAGGGCGTTATTAATGCTTATGATGTGAGGTGGCAAGACTTTCTTGTATCGAAGAGAATGCAAGTAAGTACTGAAAAGTTCCAAAACATACATGCAGTCATCCAGTGACTCCTTCAGAACATGGCACAATTTCTCAAAAGGGCCATTACCAATTTTTCATATGATTAGTCTCCTATGGTTTGAAAGTAAGTTAAACACAGCAGCATAAGAACTATGCTGGTCTTCGTCTTCAATTTGTGTATCCATTAACAACTGACATCTGCTTTTCAGTGTTTTAGGTGCACTTGAAATAGCTGTATTCCTTGTGGGGAAAAAAACACTGAAACTACAGAATGGCAAATCTACATATATTCTCAAATATCAGACTTGCAAAGAAGTAAGCAGAAAAAATACTTAAGATTTGCTGATAATGGATTTTTTTTTTGTTTGTTTGTTCTTGTAAAACATCAGTCTCACTAAAGAGTGGCAGGTTAGCAACTGAACCCTAGTTTCGCATCTTATATCCTATTGGGCTTGCCTTCAAAACCTGCCACTGGACGTGCTTGCCAATAAATGTGGTTGATTATACTGGCAACTGAAATGCATGCTGGCTTCAAATAAATAAGGATGTGTTCATGGCAAAGATAACCTTGGAAATTGTTGGCTTGACCTGAATGTTCCACAACAAGCTTTGTTCATATACTGAGTCCTTGTTGTTGTCCTACATGTTTGTGTATATGTATAGGGGCACATCCTGTTCTTTTGATTGAGGTGGAAGATCTATTTCTTTGAAGTTTTTGTCAATAGGGGGAGAATACGCCTATTCTTTTAGAGCTGAGTAAAGGGAATTTGTGGACGGAAAGCGCTCCAGTGACTTAGTGTGTCCACTGCATTCAAAAAAAGATTTTAAAATATGGTCCTTCTGAATTGATAAAGCAGCACAGCCTCGTGCACGCTTATCAGACTTTCTTCATCAAAGGCTGGAAAATTTGGGTTAAAACAGCTACGAGACTGACTGTGGTAAAGACAAAGAAAACGGTAGATGGGAAATCATTACCTTCTTAAACTGTAGCTTCAAATTATTGACTGTGTTTTGAAATGACCCTAAATGCTCTTATACATATAAACCTAAAGAGCATCAGTAAGGTTTGCTCATGTTTCTGGCCATTCCTCAGTCATAAATGCTGCTGTGTCATCTTTTACCTGAACTGTTACTGATGCTGAAACCATATGTTTGGAGCCAGAATCACAAGCTGCTAGTTGGTCTTTAATAAAAGATAATCTGTAGAAATGGAGTTGCTCTAATAATATTTCTTCAATAACTTAGTCAAACTGATGTGGCACTGTGCCTTCTCTGTATGAACAGAGCAATGTAAGATTGGAAACACATCCAAAGAACAGACAGGACTACAGGATGGATTTGGGGAAGAGGTGGTAGGAGTAAGGAAGGGAAAGGAGAATGTATCAGGCCCAGTTTTACCCAGTGCGAAGTTGTACCTGGAGTTCAAGGATTGTTGATGTGGTTTCATACACGTGTTTGGGGAAGACAAGTAAGAATGCACATGCAGCATTTCAGTCTGGTCACTCAGGCATACCTTATCTTCTAGAAAGGCTTTCCTCCCCACCCCTCATAGTGTTTTTGTCATGCAGATCCACTGGTGATTAAGTTTGTATTTGTTCTTCTGATAGGCATCTTTATATATAGTTATATATAGTTGAGAGGTTCAGAAATGCAATTTTCACATCCTTGTCAAATACATTTTGAAGGTATTGCAAGAGTCTTTGCCTTCTAATAACTTTACTGTGTTGCTCATCAGGGTTATGGAGCTCTCCAGTCAAACTGATGACATGTGGCCAGGGAAGTCTTTATAATGACAATTACCTCAGCACACTGACTAGCGGAATAATGGATCCTGATGACTGGACCACTGTAATTAATCTGTCTTGATGATAAAGTATGTCCTAAATTCAAAGATAATTAATTCAATTATTTTTTTAATATTATCTTCTCCATAAGGAGAGGGAAAAAAAAAGGCAATTTAAAAGGTCCTTTTGCTTAATTGCAAAGCAGCCATATACAATATTTTTCCACCTACCTAATTTACCAGTAGGCCCAGTAAACAAGGAGCCTACATCCAAAAATGAGATTTGGGCTGCATTAAGTTAAAAGGCAGAAATAGATATGTGAAGTAGGTAAGTTGATCATATGGAACTCTTGTTACTGGTTGTAATTACATTTAGTGGCTTCTTTTTTGGCTTTGGTTGTTTTACCTCCTCCTGACCCCCTGACTTACCAAAAGCTCCTGTTTGTTTAATTTCCTAAGTTTTTTTCACTATTGGTTATTCAGCACCTTCATTAAAATGCCTGACATAGAAGTCTCTGTTTGTATTTGATCTTTGATGTAATTTGCATGCCTTCTTACATTCATTTTTAACATACTGTAGTCCACCAGGAGAAGAGGACTTGCAGACAATCAAGGGACAGAATTTTCTCTTTAAGAGCTCTTTGAGATGTATGATCTGTATTCTGCCTCGTACTCATTTCTTTACCTCTGCTGAAAATAGATTTTTTTTTTTTTTTTTTAATTGCGACAAAAATAAGGGTCAGTTTGTTTTCCTGTTCCTTAGCTGTGAGGATTAAGGGTACCTGGGTAGAGGACATTTTCAGGCAACATGTCCCAAAAGAATTTCAGGTTACAAGTAATCTTTTTTTTTTTTTTTAACCCACTTGCAGGTTGCAGTGAAGTTACATTATAGTCCTGTTACATGGTGTCAACAAACCCCTAAAACTGTTGTTTGCCTTTTTTTTAACACAATGGCTCTGGATAA